GCTTGCAGGAGGCAGGGAGCTGAAATCATGACATTCTGTGCTCATTTAGAGCGTTTAGAGTTTAGAAACATCGGCCATTCCATCAAAATAACTCACCAATATAAAAAGCGCTGTTTTGTAAGACAGCCCAGTGACGAGGACGCCTGCAGCAGCAGCATGTGATGATGTCACGCACGCCTACCTGATCTCACAGCGGAGAGGAAAATTCAAAATGTCGGCGGTGTGGAAGGTTTTCTTTTTTCGTTGGTGAGGATGTCGGATGCCGAAGATTTTTGGACTTCGTTGAGCCTCGCTGCATCGTCCCCAGATAGAGATATTTTTCCGACGTAGCCTTACCCGAGTTACAAGCCGCCATTTCTGACGTCACTGTGAAGCTAACAGCTGATAGCACTTGGAAGAGTTTTACCACAGACATTTGGACGTTGTGTTAGCCCTGTTAGCATGATTAGTTTTACAGCTCAAAAACTTTGAACTTAAAAAGTCTGTCCTTCATGCACAGGATTCCACACAGCAGCTATAGGAACCTGGAACAAGCCTCCACAAGTGAGACAGCATCGCAGGTGACTAATGCTAATAAATAACATTTAACACTTTTCATTTAATAAAAGTTAAAGTGCTGCATATGGCTGTTACTGAATAAATGTCACCAGCTCTTACAGCTGTTAAACAATTTTTGTAGCAAATAAGCCTAAATAAGAGAGAGGGCTATGTTCTGACAAATGAAAGTATATAAAATATCAGTATCGGTTATCGGCCAAATAAGTTTTAACATATTGGACAAAAATCCAATATTGTGCATCCCTCAAATAAACCAAGGATTACAACATGTTACTTTTAAATTAGTTTGTTTTGTTACAATGAATCATAAATGCAATAAAATGAACTCAAAACCCAGAACTGTAAAATATATATATATATATATATTATATACAGATATATATATTTTAAAACCTTAATTTTTAGAGTGCTGAGTTAAAATGTGGTGCTTTAGCACCCATAAAAAAAGAGGTTAAAATCGCCACTGCACTTTGCGTTGCGCTGAAACAGAGAAGTTTGTTGGTGATAAACTGAAGCGTTTAACGAGATGTTTTTAGAAAATAGTGACTTTTTGTTGTTTTTTTCTAAAGAACAGGAACTAACAAACCTTGAACTCCCTTCATTCATCATGGCGCCTGTGCAGCAGCACTGTAAAACTCCACTCACCCAGAGCTGCACTATAAAAACAACTTGTGTTAACAACGTGCGCGCACTTAGCAGGTGGAGGAAGTTAAGTGCAGCTTTCAGCAGGTGCCGCCCCGCGTGAGCCGGCTAGGACGAGATGAAAGCCTCCCCTGTACTCCCGAATCTCTCCCCGACTCCCTGCCTCCCATCACCAACACGCCAAACATCCTCCCTCCTCCCCCGCGCGCTCCGTGAGGCAGATTTGTAGTGACAGCAGCGCGTGCGCTCGCTAGTCATTCCCCATAAAAGGTTCCGCCTGATCAAAGGCCCGCTGAGGCAGCGAGGCAGCTCGCTACGTCGGTGTGTGTCTGCGTGTCTCCGGTGTCTCGCAGGGTTGAGGCGGTTTTTTGAAGCTTTATAAACACAGAACCCCTCTCTGTCGATCTCCCCGCTATTTACATTTGCGCTCCGGTTTGCCTCGGCGGTAAAACATTGGTTTTTATTCCCCTCTGCCTGTAGCCCGCGTGACAGGCTCGGCTGCATTAATCAGCTCCTCCTCGCTCAGAGTCAAGGCTTTCTTAAACTGTAAGAATTAAATCTTTAAATACATTTTAAACGCAAGTGTCTGACTGAAGTTATGTTAACAAGACGCCCCCCTCCTCAACCTGAGAGGTGTGTACGCCGAGCAGAAACTCCCCGGTGAGCGCTGAGGGGATGGCGCACACCAAAGCAGAAAAAGCAGCGTTGTGTTGATAAGAATTTACCCATCCGCTGTCAATTAGACAAACCTTTTAGCAGCTGCGAAAGTTGGGTTTTTCTACCGGATGAACGCTCAAATATCAGAACTTTTAAGTCATCTGCCAGTCACGCTGCCAATTTTCCATATTCATGTTGTTTTAAATCACCAGGAAGCCCGAACACATCTTTTTCCTCCTCATTAACATCTGCCGTCTCGTCAGAAGCAGGCAGCATTTTTCACAATCAATTAAGCGCGAAGGGATCCAAAGCAGGTTTACTGCTGACACATCTTAGGGACTCGACGTAAGCCCCAAAAAAAACAAAAAACACACATATCTATATATGCAAGTCAAAAATTGGCAATGCAAATTTTTAAGACTGTTTAGACTTTTAACAGACTCCACACCCCTTCCGCCCAAATTCTTGTTTTCATCCTCGGCACAAAGCGTTTCCATACATTGATCTGTTCCTCACAATCGTTTCTTTCTCTGCTGAATAAAACATTTTGAGTTGCCGCTTGAAGTTTGTCCACGCGTCAAGGCCTTCTGTCAGCAAAGACTTTAAAACCTTTTGTGCAAAAGTCAAAAACGTGACTTGGGGGAAAAAAAAAGAAAAAAAAAAAACTGTAAAAAATATTTTTAATGTAATTTTTGCCCGATACGTAGAAACCAAAACTTGTTTTTCTAGACACTAATACCCATTTTATTATGTTTAGGAAACTGGAACACATCTGGAATGTAAATATAAGGTTGACAAAGAGGCATGTGTTGCATTACCACGACTTTTAAATAATTTAGGAACTGGTTGAATTATTTCATTGTTGTCATGGTTTAATTCTCTTCTTTGTGATGCACCGTCATTTTTGAGTGCGTCACACGACTAACTTCCTGAGAAAGACGTCAAGTAAATATTTTCAAAGTCACAATACAGTACAGGTGTATTTCACTGCATTAACGGTCCGTCCACCGATTTGGTTTTTGCTGCATATCCATGGTCCCTTCAGCGAGTTCATGTATCTTTATTATCCCCAAGGGGCAATTTGTTTCACAGTCAGTAGGTCCAAAAACCATCCATAGACACTGAGACATTAAAGCAACAGTAAAGAAATCATCATTGATCACTGAGAATCCTGATCTCTACAGGGATGAATGAGATTTTCAGTCTGCTCGTCCAACATCTGGGCAGCAGATACCTGCGTCCTGATGGAACCTGAACTCACCATGGAGTGGATGATCAGGATCTGCCAGAATCAGCCCGGCCTTGTTCACTGACCTCACCTTGTGTAGGTCAGTGAGGTTCTTTAGGTTAGGGAGGTTCTGTAGGTCAGGGAGGATCTGTAGGTCAGTGAGGTTCTGTAGGTCAGTGAGGTTCTGTAGGTCAGTGAGGTTCTGTAGGTCAGTGAGGTTCTGTAGGGCTATGCCAGCAGTTTTGCTGCACGTCCTGACATTCCCCGAGAGTTTGTTCCAGTTCTTGCACGTCAAAAGTCCAAACCAACAGATGAAGATAAAAGAGATAAAACCTTCTCATAAAAGTCAAATCAACTTTAAACCCCCAGAGCTTTTGATAAAAAAACTTTCTCTGGTGGGTCTTCTTACAAAGTGAGTTCACACGGGGGTCAAAGGTCAGTTTGTCATCAAGAGCAGCTCCCAGATGATGCAGCACCTTGACAGCTTCACCGTTAACGACCGCAGGAGTGACAACCGAAGAGTCTTTTCTAAAACCAGTGACCATCTCCTTTGTCTTAGAAACATTTTTTAAAAAGGAAGACTCGCACCATTCCGGGTCCGCTCTGAGATCCCAGTGGGATGTACCTGGAAAACCTCCAAAGGGAGGCGCCCAGACAGTTTCCTCCTCACCTCAGTTGACTCCTTTCGATGAGGAGGAGCAGTGGCTCTACTACAAACTCCCCTCCTGGATGCCACCTTGTCCCAGTTGAGGACACATTTCTTTATTCTTCATCCTTTTGAGCACCGACACGCCACCGTCACAGACGCTGTCTCCTGTTTGGCAAATCGTTTTCAAAAGCTCTTTAAAAATGGACTCAATGTCCTCCTGAACATCTGGTGATATTTTCCAAGGATGACTGGATGATTCTGAGAAATGACCTGGTCCGTTTTATTCTATTAGTTTAATGAAGGTTTTTCATGCCAACCGCCAAAGGCTCCTTTTTTAACCTTTGACACAACTGCAGCCAATAAATCTGACTGGACGGTGTTAGTTGTATAATTTCCTTCTAACAGCTCGATTGGTATCAAATTATAGATTTTCCTTACATGAATGGAATTAAATCCATTAGTTATAATTGTATCTATGTATGCATCAAATTAGTTTTGACAAAGAAAAACAAGTTTAGGACATTTTTGGCTTACTTTCTGGAAATAGGCATTCCCTCTGACTTTGCATGTGAAAACATTTAAACGTCAAGATCAAACTATAACAACTTGTATCTAGATTAAAAAAAATACATTAACACGATAAAAGCTGTTTGTTTTTTCATTTGTCATTAAAAACTAAACTTTTGCACCGCGGGAGTTTTTGTTTTCTCTGGTTTGATTACAGCTCAGGACGAATTGTTTCTCATAATTTAATTTAACTTTGATGAACGTTAGCTAAAGTTATTATTTTTTTATATATAAACTATTTAAAATTACAAAACTTTTTTTTTTTTTTAATAGAAACACATTTTAAATACTAAAAAAAAAACCTTCACTTTTACAATATGAAGTAAATATTGGTGTTTAGGACTCGGGACGCACGATTTTATCGGCATGGTATCGGACGATATTAGCGATAAAGTTAAATATCGTCCATTCCATCACATTAACTCACCGATATATAAAGTTTGTTTTTGTATGATTGAGTGTTGTCATTGTGTTAGAGAGTAAATATCATGAATAAAGATATGTAGTCTCTGTAAGTAGGTCTAGGGAAAAATATTAGTATCAGATATTGGCCAAAAATCCAATATCGTGCATCTCGATTTAGGACCATTTGCTGTAAAACGGACTTTAAAATAGCCGATGCCTGTCGGAGGGCATCATTTGAGCTGTTAAATATCTTTTAGACAGTTCTTGATATAAAAAGATTCAGACTTGTTTTAGTCGTAATCATCACACCATTTAATTCCAACAGTCTGTAAGAAATAAAAAACATGACAGCATTTATAAACGTTACGATCACCTTGGCTCGGCTGAGCTCTTAAACTTTATGTTACATTAGAGTCAGAGACGACGCTGACGAGAAGTTTACAAACCAAGCAAACCGTCTGCTTTAATCTGAACGGCCTCCGAGCTCGGTTTAGTTTACACGAGTCTTCAAACACATTCACATCCCCGTCCTCAACCCGCTCCATCAAGGCAAAGTGGTGCTTTACAAACACTTCCAATGTTACCGAGTGCGTTAACAGCAATCACGATGAAGATTAGGATCTAGATTAGAGAACATGCGTTACTGCGGGTAGGCTTCAACCACCATGGCATGACCCTGGAGGACAAAGGAGGAGGAAAAGTAAACGCATTTAAAGTTCCGTGTTTATTGTTTAGTTCAAGTTAAAGGGAGAAAAGGTAAAGTTACCTGTCCTCCTGCAGCACAGGCTGCCACCAGTCCGTACTGCCCCCCCTCCTTCTTCAGCCGATGAGCCACGGTGGTGACCAACCTGCAGCCCGTGGCGCCGAATGGGTGCCCCAGAGACAGGGAGCCCCCCCACATGTTGAACTTCTCCATGGGAGGAGCCACAACCTGAGAGCACAAGACTCACCTCAATCCTGAGCTTCACACAAACTTGAACAAACTGAAACGTCTGTGTGACGGAGACACAAAGCCGACGATCATTTCTTGATGCAAGATTTGATTTCCAGGGTTTTACAACTGAAACCTCGTTGTGACGACACACGAGGGAGAACCAGAGGTTTGGGTGAAACCTTGTAAATGACGTTATGAACCATCTCGTGTAAAACTGTGAGATCCGGCGAGACGCCAGGCTCAGAAAATACATTGACAGGGTTCACCGCGTTGCAGGAGTTGTCCCTGAATTCAACACCACCCTCGGAGTAAATCCTGACATTTCTGAAGGTCCTTCAGTCACACGAAGGGCTCAGAACTCGGCGTCTTAGGTGGTGGGCAGAGCCACGTTCAAAGACCGCACCGTATTTTTCACTGTATAAGTCGCACCTTTTTGCATAAATTGCCTGAGACTTTTACAGCAAAGCGACATATTTATGTTTTGTTTCTCATATTTATAACAATTCTTGGCTGCGATCTGACGATTTCATTCATTCAGACGTGGAAAATATTGAACACTACCAACAAAGTCCATGCTCAATAATCCAGGTATACTATCCAACAATTTTCAGTCAGGTCATCTGGACAGTTTCTTTTTGTTTTTTTGCTGAAACATTTCACCTTCCATCCAGAAGGCTTCATCAGTCAAGGAAACACACAACACAAAACTGACTCTTCCCCCAAACAGCTTACTCCAAAGTGGAACAAACCAGTTATGTTGGTGCTAAGATGGTGTCTTTTACGCCACCTCCTCTGGTGCCGGCCCTCTTCCTCATCACAGTCATGTCAAACAGGAACACTACTATTTTCAGCCACTAGAGGGCCCCCGACCAATATGGCAAGCCAAGTGTCTCATTAATAGGTAAAATGGCTATTAATGAGACACTTTGCTTGCCATACCAAGCCACCTTCATCTCGCTCTGGAACTCCTGGAGCAAACGTCAAATCAGCTGCATTTCGCCGCGCCACCCAGGAGAAATGCAGCTGATTTGACCATTTAAGTGCATTTATTAAGGAAAAGTTCCACTGAGACACACCTTTGTTATAATGTCGAGCAAACTAATAATTGTTTTAGATAGTTATCTTGTTAAATTTTGAAAAAATGCACAAGGGGTCCTCCCTCTGCGCACTCCCGCTTCTGTGAATCGGCTTTTAAAATGCAGCTGATTTGACCATTAAAGTGCATTTATTAAAGAAAAGTTCCACTGAGACACACCTTCGCTGTAACTTCAAGCAAACAAATAATTGTTTTTAAGTGTTAATCTTGTTAAAGTCCTCCGGCGGCCGCCATTTGGCAGCCAATCGATTTTTGGCACAACACCGGCCCACATTTCTGAGTTGTCAGCGGTGACGTGTAACAAAAGTGACTTGTATAGCGAAGCGACGTATTTATGCTTTTTTCCACTTTATTAGTCTTTTTTGGACTGATGCGACTTATACAGTAAGTATACTGTGGCCTACAGTACGAGCAATCCTTCATTATAATTAATTACATTAACATCAGATATGAAAAAGCCACAATAACCAATCAGTGAGGATGCATGTGTCATGTACACTGAAGCAGACATGGACTCAGTGATACTAGAAGACCAGCATTAATACTTAAAATCTCAAAGATCTTCTTTTGATCAGCAGATCAGCGTTCCGATTCCTCGAGTTTTCCCTGTGTGGAAAATGCAAAGTCATTTCCTTGACTTCCAGTCACCGACAGTGGACGACTCTCAGCAACTACCACGTTACATTCTGCTGGATGTCGTCAACACTGAATGTGTTGCAGCCATTTTTCTGTTTGCTACAACGGCTTATATCGAACTTGGCTTATATCAAATGTTAATGAGTTGCAGATGCACAACCAACAATGACTTTTTGAGTCCCGCCTGTCCAGTGGTTAACAAGATATTTGGCTAACAGACATGTTGACAGTGACAAAATGTTAAGCAAAGATGTGTAGAGCTCAGATTGTGTTGGGAATGACTCTGACCAACTAAAACACTGTTTTTATCTTAGGATGTGTAAAACTAAACGAGTTGTGGCCGAATTTGTGCAAGCTAAGGTCGCTTAGCTTTGGTGGCCATCTTGAATGGGGTTTACTCAAAAACAACTTTCTAAAAGTTTTATTAAAAACTAAATTCATTGCCTTTATTGTATTTCCATGTTTAAATTTGCTGCCAGCTTTGCTCTTCGACCATTTTTTGCTGTAGAAATAGACGTGTGCTGCATGGATCTGTTGTCCTGAGCTGAACAGCAGCAAGTTTTTACCTTTGATTTCCTGCCCATGTACGTCTGAGCAAACCAGTCCGAGTCCATAGCCTTCAGATTCGCCATTATCTGACCCTGGAAAGCACAAATACATACATAGATCAAACAGAAAATTGACTTCTCCAGATCCAAATATGAAGAGTATGCTCTCAAATCGTGCTTCACTAAGACACCAACATCTGTAATAGACTAACATAAAGACAATGACACTAGGAAGTTAAAAAAATATATTGATGGATCACTCCAGCTTGTTATCTTCACATCCATTGATGGGACTTACTGCAAATGCCTCGTGGAACTCGAACACATCAATATCAGACGAAGACAAGCCGGCCCGTTCCAGGACTTTAGGTGTAGCATACGTAGGCCTGCAGGAGTCCATCAGAAGAAGTTTTACTTTAAATTTCCCATAAATGATCACAAGTGAAAGTCTTGACTTTATAACAGCCAGCGATATTTTATTTCTTCCAATATGTGCATGTAAAAACACACTGCCATGAGGATATGTGGAATACTTAATACTAAAACATCACAGCAAGAATAAAGAACTCACCCCAGAAGCAGCTGATCTTTGGGGTCCTGAGATACGTAGACAAAGTCTCTGTCAGGAGGAAGATGCGCAGGTGAAAACATCTGAGGTATCAATAATGGAGCGACACAGGCTTTTCTTAAACACAGGAAGGGTTTCGATACCTGAGGTATGCTTTAGGCTTGAAACCCATGGCGAGAGCTTTCTCCTCAGACATGATGAGCACCGCAGAGGCCCCGTCAGTCTGAGGAAACAAACAACAAACTCTTTACAGTCAAGCAACAAAAGGTCAAGGAACATTTTTCTAAATGCCAGAGAATGTTAGAGAATTGCTTTAGAAGGCATAAAAAAGGAAGTAATTACAGAAAAACTAGTTCATTTCTAACTATTGTGTTTTGTGTATCTCTGGCTACGTGACCTGCTCAGATTTTATTATTTTGGTGGTACTTCATATAACTTAAATACGACGGCCATCAGATCCGGGGCGAACCGTCCTGAAGTGACCTGCATGCACGGAAGGTGTGTTTACGGAAGTAATTATGGATGCTACGTATGTTAGCACGTGTGTATCTATTCTAAAGTGGTTGTGCAACCAGAAACCACCATTATGGACCGTGCTCGTTTTGTCCAGTGTTTGTATTTGATCTTCCTGCGGTGCAGAACTGCACTTCTGGAACGAGAGCGACGTACAAAAAGTAGAAACGAACTTCTGTACTGATCCCGTCACGCTAATATTGATACACAGCCCAGCACAAGGACTTTCCATCTACTACCCTCAGACGTACGATACAGGAACCTCCCATCTCACAGGAAAAGACTCAAAGACACTTGTTGCCTACAAGCTGTCAGATTACTGAACTCTAGATAATAATACTGAACAATTGACAACATTGCACTTAGGCCTGTCGCGATAAACAATAAATCAATTAATCGCATGATAAATGAAAATTATCAACCTCATTTTCATTTATCAGCTTTATCGTTTCAACATATCTCTCTCTTTCTGAAGACACTGGATGATAAAAGGATCAACTCCGGTGCTCTTCATTGACCCGTCCCCCCTGTTTTAACCGCCCAAAATCGTGTTATAGCTTGACAAAAGCAGCTAAGCTGAGAAGCTAAGCTACGAGCTAAGCTAACAGGCCGACCTCAGGAAAACTCTCCGTCTTGTCGAAGCTCCAAAATTCACGTTTGAAACCCGTGCCTTCGTCTAAAAACTTGTTTTTTTCTGCAAAAAGAAGCTGAGAACTTGTTTACTGATTTTTTTTTAAATTAAAAGCTTTGTGTGAAAAATGCTACGCTAAAGAGCTCAAACCACACCGAGCGTCCGCCATTTTGAGAACTGAAAAACAGGAAGGAGAGACAGCCCATGTCATGTCAAGGGGCCTCCCTCCCATTTTTCTTAGAGAGGGACGCTGCTCGCTCCCTCACTATCCATCTTTCGGTTCAAACAGTCTTAAACTGCCATCCAGTGGTCAAAAAAGGTACTACACTCAAAAATTAACCAACGTTTCTTCTTAAATTTGACAATAATTACTAATTATTGTCAAATTTCAAACAATATTATCATTTATCGCAATAATTTCTGAGACAATTAATCGCCCAGCAAAATTTGTTACCGTGACTGACCTAACTGCACTAAACCACATCTGTGACACCCAATATGTCTATTGCTGCTGCACTATGTGACTGCATCATATATGTCACTACATTATCACCATCATCTCAATGTTACTCACTACCTGTGCAATAATCTGTCACACAACATGTGTAGTTTATGTTAGTTATGTGCAGTATATATCATGTGAATTTAAACTAATATTACTACCTGTGAAATACTTATTCATCCTACATGCACCGTTATAACAAGTTGTTGTTTACTATAGTTCTTTTGGACCTTGTAAATATTACTGTGCATTTATTTTTCACTTTTTGGTACTTTATTTTGTAACCTTATTACATGCTTTAGTATTTCTTTTTTTTTTTTTAGAGAGTCGAATCGGTTCTTCTCATCCTGATCATTTCATTGCATTGTTGACTTTGTGTTAACCTGAATATGACAAATAAACAACATTTTGGTTCGACCAGCGAACCCCGACTTCCATGATGTAAAAGTTAAATGAAATGCGTCATGATTGTTTAGACTGCTTTAAAAAATAATGATTATGCAACTGATTTAGTACCACATATGAAAGCGTCTGTCAGATTTGAAGAAAAAAAAAAGTTTATGTTTACGCTGCATGCAGTGTAAACATAATTGAGCACACACGGTCACTTGGTACCCACGCAGTGTTTTTGTTATTGATGCTGGACGGCACCGTTTGTATTTACCAGAAAGGAGGAATTGGCAGCAGTGACGGTGCCATGAGGTTTAACGAAGGCCGGCTTCAGTTTGGCCATTTGCTCCATGGAAGAAGGACGAATGCCGTTGTCCTTTGACACAATATCCCGACCTGGAAACAAACAAAAAGCAGTATGTACGGTCCTAATACAAACAGCAATGATAAGAAAGACAGACAACTCTTATAGTTGACTTTTATCATATTTCCAAACAAGTTATTCATCTAATTTTGTCAGCGTGAGGTATAATTATTGGACAAAGCATTTTAAAGGAAAAGACTAATGGGAGTCCTTAATAAAAGCACAACAAGCTGATAGGTTTTATTCTTATTCTCAGGTGAAACAGTGGCTCCAACAAACAAATCTGACGGGACCTGCAGGTCGGCTACTGGCTAGAAGTCCAACAAACAAACAACAGAAGAAAAAAATGTAAAAAAAAAGTTGGTATGTTTGTCCAAACCACAAAAAATTAAAATCATGACTACTCATCATCATCAAAGACTATGTGAAGAATAAAAAGACTTTTTGTTACCAACCAACTATCCATAATATTATCAGTTATGAACAGAAACAGTAAATGATGTGAATGTTTGCGATCAATTTTTCTTTCCTAAGTTTTTTGGCATCTTTCTCGTTCCACAGTTTTTGTGTTATTTCAACAAACCATAAATCAAAACGTTCGGCTCTTTCAGGACGATCCTGCTGTGACGTTTGGTATTGGTGCAACTTTAGCTTTTTGAAATATTTAGCCCTTTCTGCCACTTTTTTCCCCAATAGGAAATGAATTGAGCTCATTTTACATCCTTCAAATCTTTAGATCTGTTTACAACCTTTTACTGCTCCTTTCACATTTTGTTCTGCTTCAGCTTCTTTCAGCTTCTTTGTGCAAATTTAAACTTTGTTTTTTAGCTACGTTCGGCTAATTTCACCGTTTTTTCAGCTTTGTGCTCTTTTTAGATTCTTTCTGCTACTACAAGATTTTTGTGACTCTTCTAACTTCTTTCTGCTCCTGTCAGCTTATTTATGCAAGTTTCAGTTATTTCAGCTTCTATTTAGCTGTTTTTCTGCTAATGCAAGCTTTTTCAGCTAATTCCACCTTTTTTTTTTGCACAAATTTAAACTCTTTTCAGTCTAATTCAGCAAAAACGTGCTCTCTCCACTTCCTTCATGTAACTGAAGTATTTCTGAATTTTTAGCTAATTTTCAGCTGGTTTTTTTTTTCTAATTTCAGCTTTTTTCATATAAATTCCACGTTTGTTGTGCTCGCTTCTGCTTCTTTTAGCCTAATTGGGCAGATGTGGTTTTTTTTTTGCTTTCTTCTGCTAATTTAAGCTTGTTCTAACTTTTCAGCTACCTTTTTTTTTTTTTACCATTTTTAGCTAATTTCAGATAAATTCAAGTTTTTCATGGTAATTTCAGCCTATTTAACTTATTTCTGCTAATTTCAGCTCGTTATGCTTTTGTCAACTTATTTATGCTAGTTTAAGTTATTTCAGCTACTATTTAGCTGTTTTATGCTAATTTAAGCTTTTTCAGCTAATTCCACATTTTTTGCACTCATTTAAACTTTTATCAGCCTAATTCTGCAAAAATACGCTCTCTCCACTTCCTTCTGGTAATTTAAGTTTCTTTCTGATTTTTTAAGCTACCTTTCAGCTGGGTTTTTGTGCATGTGCTAATTTCAGCTTTTTCCAGATAATTTCCACTGTTTTGTGCTCATTTCTGCTTCTTTCAACCAAATTGGGCAAATACGTGTTCTTTCTGCTTTCTTCTGCTAATTTAAGCTTGTTCTACCTTTTCAGCATGTTTTTTTTTTTTTTTAGCTAATTTCAGCTGTTTTTCAGCAAGTTCTACTGCAATAAGGATTCACACTGCATTTTTTTTAGACATCATATAAAATTCACCTGCTAGAGACAATAAAAACCAGAAACAACAACACAATCATACAAGTACTCACCCCTCAAACACACAAATCAAAACTAGAAAAATGAAATCATCTACTCTTTGTCTGATTTATTGTAACGTCAGGTCAGAGAAGGTTCTACCTGGCACTTTAAAAGAAATGACGTCCTCCAGCAGCCCTTCATCCTGAGCCTTTTTGGCGAGTGTGTGAGACCGCAGAGCGAACTCGTCCTGCTCCAGTCTGGAGACGGCGAACGCAGCAGCCAGACGATCCGCACTGTGGCCCATAGTTTCAGCTGTGGAGAACTCGGCCACGGCAGGAAGCTGCCGACACACAGTCAGACATGTTTAAGAGGAAATTCCATGATCTGATGTGAACACATTGCACGTGCTTACCTCTGGAGAGAAATGCGCGAGCCGGATGCTGCCGATCAGGCTAAGCCTTTGGCCGAGGGTTTTCGCCTTGTTCAGGGACAGCATCGTCTTCCTCATTTTTCGACTGTGACGGATTGGAACGTCTGACATGAACTCCACCCCACCAGCAACAACGGCATCACACTGGCCTGCAGCAATCATCCCAACGGCTGGAGGTAGGTGGAAGAGAAGGAGACACATGAAGAGGCGCAGCCAAAAAGAATTCATCGTCTCTGTCCAGCTTCGAGTTGTTTTGTATCAATAAAATGGAAAATTTGCAGCTTTTTCATTCAGTCTATGAGTAAAAAACGATTTTCATCCTTCTCAAAATTTAAAAAAGATAAGGCTCAGAGTGGGTAATGGGTAGAAACATACCTGAGGTCATGGCCTGGTTGGAGGAGATGCAAGCCATGGTGACGGTGTGAGCGGGGATCTTGTCGGAGAAGCCTGCTCCCAGTGCCGCCTGAGGGAAAAAAGCCAGACACAGTTTACACACATGATTGGCTTGATAAAAAAAAGAGTCATACAAGGGCGCATCTCAAAAAAATTAGACTATCGTGAAAAAGTTCCATGTTTTTTGTCAATCATTTCAGAAAATGAAACTCATATTATGGATTCACTGCACAGTGAAATATTTGAGCTTTATGGAGATGCTGATTTCATTTTCCAGCAGAACTCTGCTCGTCCACACTGCCAAAGGTAGCTGTGGAATATTCTAATGTTCTGAGACTGAAGTTTTTCATTATTTGAAAACCACAGTAATGATAATAACAAGGTTATTCTACTAAACTGCTCAGGCCACGGTTACTTCCTGCCAGCAGCTCAAGGGCCGGACACCCAGCACTTAAAGCCATTATGTAAATAAATCAAGTATTACAATGATCTGTTACCATCTGAATTAAATTAAATTCAGTTTATTTATATAGCGACCAAGTCACAACAGAAGTCATCTCAGGGCACTGAACAATTAATTTATTTTGCTGCAGTGAATCATAAATGCTATAAACAGAACCCAACAGTGTCATTCAAAGAATTACATTTCAAGATTTATTTCCTTGCAATAAAAGTAATGATATTCTAATGTGAAACAATATTTAAAAAAAATGGCACACTACGCCTCCTATTTAGCACAAATGTTATTCTGCCATGTCTGACTTGACAAATCTTTATGCTTTTCAAAACAAAAATAAAAAGTCGACCCTTTTTTGATGTTCCCCGAGTGACCGACATGCTGCTGTTCCAGGTGGGTCCATTAAGAACCAGTTCTCATTTATAGTGAAATGGCTGCACAGACCAGTTCTTCCTCAAAGTTCATGGGCTCAGGTGTGAGCTTTGAGAAGAACCAAAAGAGGCGGAGCAGAACTCAGCTGGGCTGAAAGCGAGCGCGGTGCGTGTCGAACATCTCCTGAAATGAATTAACTCATTTAATCAATCCTATGTGGTGAACTAGTTTTATGAACTAACTACAAAGCTGCTGTGCGTCGTCATCAACAATCCCCCAGTAATAAAACCATTTGTTGTCGTTTAATACGGCTCGCGGGCGATCACACACCGATATGATCAGTTTATCAGAAACCCCCATGCAGCACGAGAAAGAGCGCGCAGCCTTTCGACTCGTGTCTCTGCTAATTTATTTATTTTAATTAAACTTTATTAACACCAAAACACTGATGTAGCTGTAGGCCCCAGATTAAAATAAAGATGTGCGTCTCTGTTTAACTTTATTTTATTTTACCCTGAACTCACAAAGTTCTCTCTGTGAAGAGAGACTGTGAGCTGCAAAGCATGCTGGGTAACCTTGTGGAAATTATATGCTTTCTGATTTATTTTTATTAATGAACTCATCAGCGGTACAAACTTAAATTCTGGCCCAAAGGCCACCAGTTGAATATCTCCGATCTACATATTGTACGAATTTCACTTTCTGAAATGATCAACCCCCCCCCCAAAAAAACAAACTTAGTCACAATATCCTGGTTTGTTTTAGATGCACCTGTATAACAAACTGCTCTTGAGCTTACAGTACAATCCATCAAAGTGTTTTTGTAGATTACCTCTCGTGCCACGTTGCTGGTTTTGACCTCCTGAATGACTGTTCCATATATGATGTAGTCAACGGCATCTTTGGGTAAGCCTGTCTTTTTTAACAGATTCCTACACATACCCAGTTAAAAAATAAAGTTAGTCATAAAAACACTTGGCTACCACAATCCCCAGTTACACACTTACGTAAGAGCTGCTCTGGCCAGGTCATGGGGCATTAAATCAGCATACCTATAAACAAAATGCACATTTTCTCATCAAGTAGCAGAATTAAATTCCATAAAAAACTCATTTTACACGTTAATTGTCTTTAACAAGTCACTGTTTAAATGACAAGTGTAGATTTTACATCCGGATCATAATTAAGTAGTCAGCTTCTAGACAAAAACTTGGAGAGCACATATTTCAAGAAGTACCGGTAAATAAAATAATAAGCAAACAAAAACATACGTGGTTCCAGATATCAGGAAAGGCGTTCGAACTCCTTCCACCAGAACTATGTTCTTCACACCAGGTCGGGCCAGTGTCTTCTTGCTTTTTGTCTGAACTGAGAAAATAAACATGGCGTCTTATTGATCCTAACGTGTACTGTTGGGGAGTGGGGTTTCTATGTTTCTGTTCAGTTAAATAAATTATCTTCAAGCAGTACAGCTCAAACTAATACCAAACATTTATATCAAGACATTTTGGATAAAATACAATTACTTTTGAGTGAGAAAGGAAGGAGAACAAAGGCTCCTTGTAATCTTTTACTTACGGTAAGTGAATAAAAATCTCAACTGTTTCTCTCACATTTTAAACAGTCTAATATACTAAAATGGACTTGTAGCCTAATTTAAATTACGGTATATTTTAAAGCAATTCCTTACCCTGAGCCTGAAGCTGTGCTGTTGTACTGAGAGCACGTGTACCTGTGAGACACACCAAAACCTTTTCAGTATCAGTTAAAAACATTTACTACCACTGCATTACATTATAGGAAGGAATTACATTACATTAGAGGAAGCTGGAAGCTGGTTTGCATTTGTGACAGCTGACCTTTTTTGTAGAATATATTCTAGATGTTAAACTAATAACCTAACTGGGGCAACTTACCAAAGCGTGCTGCCCAGGATGGGCTAACCACGCAGGTCCGCATCGTGTTCAGCAACATGGAAGCCATTCTGTTCTATATGAGAGAAAAAAACTGTTATTGACGTTAAACACTTTTTAAAAAACTCATGTACAATGTTTGTTTTAAACATAATCTATAACGTTCCATAAAATGACCTTTTGAAATTTATTTCGTAAACATGAAAAAGTTGAGGGGAAGTTTATAGACTGATGCAACTACTTAAAAGTATTCCTAATCATCTGGCTGGACTGGAGCAACACTGACGCTGTGTACAAGAAGGGACTGACTATTTTCTGGAGATCTGTATTAGTTTGTGGTGGCAGGTGCAGTCTACTGCCTGCTGGAGGAACAGCATCAGGACCAGAGATGTCAGCAGGCTCAATAACCTTGTTAAAAGTATTGGGGGGGGGAATAATTGAACTGGAGACGCTTGAGTCAGCGAGGGACAGGAAAACAAACTGCTCTCCGTCATAAACAATCCCACATACTTAATCTCAGAATCATGTTGAACAGTTAGCTATTAGCATCAGGGCTATGAAGCTAAAATGATTAGCATTAGCAATTTGCTCTTCGCAGAGGTTACTAACTAGCTTTCAAATAAAATTACTTTTTTTTACATTAAATTTTTCTTCAGTTTAACAATAAAAAAGTTTGAATATTTAGTATTTTATGACGTATTATACGTCGTGACATATGGGTCACCCCTGCCCAGCCCTGCTACGACTCTGACCCTTCACCCACATTCCTCTCCAGGAGAACAAAAAAGCAGAAAAAGTGAGATTAAACGCCAGCGTGGCTATAAATACACCGACTAGCTATTTGGTTTATTTGGGTAACGACCTAATTCACTTAAAAACAACGTACCATTAAACATTTACACACAAAACACTGACGTTAAACTTGCCTGCTAGCTAGCGTAGCTAACCTAATGTTAAGCTTTGGCAACTACAATATTTCAAATAGAGGAAAAAAACGATTTTCAGAGTTGAAGATCGTTTTTATTTTCACTTTGGCTTTTAAATGAGCGTTACTGGCAGCATTTCACCTTACCTGTATTTATAATATTTCTTTGCCACCACAGCTCCACCGCTGAATGATCCAACCAGACTCAGTAGGACTACAAAAAACCCCGTCAAGGACCCACCCCCAAAGATATAGCTGACTAAAGATTTGCCTGTAAATAATACAAACATTCGCATAACTTACAGCATACACAAAATGTACTCGTTAATTTGTGTTTCAGAAATAATTAATATCGTATTAAATGTCCAATTAAAATATACATGCGAAACTACTTGAAAAAAAAAAAAGTTAAGACAATTTTTAGATTGGCAGTCCCATTCATAGGTCTCATTAAGAGAAACGCATTTTGCGCCCCTACCGGTCAAAATTAAATTTTATGTTTATATGAATTTATTGACTTTTTTTCGATTTCGTAAACAAATACATAACTTACAACATACACAAAATGTACTCGCTAATTTGTGTTTCCGAAAAGATCGGAAGA